TCATCGCTAGCTTTTGGACTAGTAAGGGGGATGAAGCGTGCCGGGAACGAAAATCCATTGGCGTGTCTGCGTAAAAGGCAACAAGATATAGAAAATATTGAAAAAACATAATAAAACATAACATCTAATATTTTTTACGGTTTGCTATAACCGGCACTTTGATCAATTTTAATTATTACAGCATTTTAAAACGTCCCAGTTGTGTTTTTTTAATTTATAAATTTATTATAGCCATGGAATTAGACCCCTCGTCTACGCTTATGCTATGACGTTTCTCAGGTCGGGCAAATCAAGTCCGTTTACACCCACTAAAAAAGCATTTCCCTATTCCCTACCAAGTGCAAAAGACAGAGATAATATATAGATCGACGTTCGGTGTAACTCAGTCTATACACGATTATAGATTCTAACGAGCGGCACAAAGATAAATAATATTGAACCGTATAGAAATAATTTTATATTTTATACGCATTATGGTAATAGTGTTTTTATCATGTATTAGTCACTCTTTATAATTTCGGCCGCCGAGTATAAATTGTATTTCTGTCGTCGTAATCACTGATAAGTCAACGTTATTTGGAGAAATCACACATGTGTAGTCCAATCGTGAGTCGTGGTATTTAATTTACCTCTGACTCTGGAGCTGGAGTGGAACAATCGAGTATTGCGTGCTTCAATGTGCAGTGCTCGCTCAATGCCGGTATGACCGATTAGCTCCTTCGTTCCGAGTCGTTCGTTCACGGCACAAGATTATGTGCCGGCACATTCGTGCGAGTCGTTCATATAGTCCAAGCATTCTGTCACGGATTAATGTTAAATTTGCAGAAATTATTACCTGGACAAAAAAAAATATGACCGTATAGAAAATTAAATTTTAAATTAATAATAATTTCTGTAAGCATTTCTTTATAATGCTTGGACTAATAAACGACCCAGCTCTACTGTGTACTATTTAGATCAAAACTCAGAATTCGAAAACTTGAGATAGAAGAAGTAGAATCAAATGGGGAAAATAGAGCTAGGTTATTATTGAACTTCACTTACCTCCTCACATATTTTATGTAGGTGGCTTCGTTTGTTCTGAATCCGGTTGTTTTTTCCCGTAGCAACCAAGCTGGGAACCCCCCATAGTTGTACTCAGCGCAGATGTACGGTCCTGGTCTCAGAATGACAAACAGATCCTCTTCCTGCGCCGTCTGTAACAGTTCCTCAATATGCAGAAAGTCTTCCATTTCAGATCCGCCTTCACCAAAATCGTACACACCCGAATAGGGTTCGTGCAAGTTCCATGCCACGTAAGTCTCAATGGTATTCAGGCCGGCTGCCCTTATTTTCTTCATTCTGTCCCTCCAATAAGCCCTGGGGACTCTAAAATAATGCATGGCCCCGCTGTAGACGGAAAAGTTCTTGCCGTTGAGGGTGAAATAAGGCTGGTCCACTGACAGACCAGAGCTGATCCCGTCGGACGTGAAATATTCATAATTCGTTGGTAGTGAGTCGTTGATTATGAACGGTAAGAAACATACCGTTAATATTAATGTCACAGATAAACCCATCTTCTCAATTTTTATAATTCCATAGGCAAGTTTAATATATAAAATATTTAATCAGTAATATCTTCACTATGTATCTTTTAGATAAATCTTTAAGAGTGCTTATATAGAGTGTACCAAAATTCATTCAAGATTTGACATTTGCGCCATTTGTACGGCAAAGTATTGCAAACGAAAAAAAAACAGCATGCCAGTTGCCAGTTCAGGGTTACTAAAAATTGTAACGTTATTTGATACTTTATAAAAGAATTGTAAAGTTAAATTTAAAGAATATTCTCCAAATAATTTCCATTTTGGTGCAAGCATAACCTAATACGTCTGTTGAAGTTATAACTCACTCGCACAAACAGTTCTTCCACACAAAAAGAAATCCATAAGTGTTAGGTCGGGCGAATGTGCAGGCCAACAAACAGGGGCATCACGATCACGACCAATCCAGCGATTCGGGTAATTTAAATTTAACCATTCTCTAACGGCAAGTGTACTATGTGCAGGCGCCCCATCGTGCATATACCACATCACCTAACGTATAGCGAGGGGCACATCTTCAAGTAATGTTGGAAGATTTTCGTTCAAAAATCTAAGATACTCGGCCGCTCCAAGTCTGTGTGGAAGAATAAAAGGACCTACAATTCCCATCCAAACGTTTAAACTGAAATTATGTTGACATCTTGAAACAAATATTTCATGAGTATTTTCTTCAGACCATGAATTAGTGCATCTGCTTTAGGAAAATTTGCTTCATCGGTGAAAAGTACATTCATTAGGAAATTTAAGTCATGCCCGGAAATATTAATGTACCATTGACTAAAATCCACGCGGTTAGATAAACCAATTCTTGCACGGGTTAATGATGAAAAGGGTATAAAAGATTTTCATGAGCTACATTCCACACAAGACTGTGAGAAACTTGCAGTTGCCTTGACACCTCTCTTGTGCTTATACCACAGTCTTGTTCTAGATGTTCTAGTATAGCTTCCTCAGTTTCAACAGTTCGGATCCTCACGATTGGGCTGAATTTTACCAGTTTCCCGAAGCCTTCTCTCCACCAAGGCCAATGTTTGTGTATGAGGAATCGGTCGGTTTGGATATCTTTGGTGGTATAATCTTACTGCAGCGTTACTATTTTTTCTGGATTCGAAAAACATTTGGCACACATATTCGTCATGATACAAATATTATTTGCCATAATTATTCTGATAATAAATTAATCAATTGGTACTAATTATTGGTTGGCAGAAAGTGTCAATTTATTAATATGATAAATAACAATTTATTTGTAAAGACATCCGCCTACGTTATTTTTACAAAATTTTCGCAATTATCCCTTTAGTGAACGATGACGCATCTAAATAAAACTATCGGTTTTATCAAAAAACTACAAGAAGTAAATAAGTTGCGTAATAAATCAGTCTTCCCAATAAATATTTTTGACCAAAATTGACCAATCAAATTTGGTATATATGTAATGTGGTATAAACTAGGTAAGATAAAAAAATATAATGAGATAAAATAGATATATAAAAAAATGTCTGAACTTTAACTTTTGCTACAACTTGGATTCAACTACTTAAATGAACAAAATAAGTTAGCTAAGCTTAAAACTCTTTTTTATTTTTTATCAAAAAGAAAAAATAATAAAAGGAACTTAACCAAATCCTTGACTTCCTGGATGGCCATATTCCCATCCGGACTGAAAATATTTGCCTGTAAGCCCAGTAAAAACTGCAAGTCTGTGACGTAATCGAATATCTAACACCTCTTCGTACTCGACAAATTATATTTGATTATATTCTTTATTAATTTCAAATAAAAAAATATCTTTCATGTTGAAATTCAATATTCCCTGCTTTTTTGCTTTCTGCTAGGCAAAATTAAACCATCTTTGATAATACAAGCATTGTAAGGGTTACAAATTTTTATTGCTTTAAAATCAAGTAGCCCTGTTTATTACAAAAAATACTTATCTGACAACATTTTATCATAAGTTATTAGTTTCGAGTACAAAAAAATATCGCATTGCTATATCTCAAAACTTCTTCTGAATCATGAACTATTCGAATGATCATTCGATATCAGTACATCCACACACGTTATTATCGTGATCTTCAAAATTAATATTATTTATGCGCATTAACAATAAAATGAAATGTAAAATGTAAAAGAAAAACAAAATTCCCCCTATGCAGTTTTGGTTTTAAATAATCCGTTTTTATGTCTGCATGGAACTGAATGTTTTTGGTTTTCAGTACTTTGACTATACAAAATAATATGTTTAATTATAAATTTTTTGAAAAAGTTCGCGATCGGGAACGAAACGTTAAGTATTAAAAAGATTGTTGTTGTTTTCTTTAATTATTTTTGACGGGCCTTCGAACTAGAACCTTATATCAAACAAAATAAATAATTTCCGTTATACACCGCAGGTTACGATAATGACGTCATCTACTGATAACGCCAAGAACACCGCAGGTTACGAACACCGCAGGTTACGATAATGACGTCATCTACTGATAACGCCAAGAACACCGCAGGTTACGAATCCTCCTGACATCTACTGATAACGCCAAGAACACCGCAAACGTATACGACGTTATTAGACCCGGCTACAAGCGCGGCCGCGTTGGGGGCCCGGGTGCGAAGCTCCTCGCGGGACATACTCGGGCATTGAGGCTACTTACCTTACTACGCGGAGCACCGGGAGCCTTGGGTGGCGCGGGGGCCCAGGTGGGGCGAAGCCCTAAAGGGGGCCCCGGGTGGGGCGAAGCCCTAAAGGGGGCCCCGGGTGGGGCGAAGCCCTAAAGGGGGCCCCGGGTGGGGCAAAGCCCTAAAGGGGGCCCCGGGTGGGGCAAAGCCCTAGGGACCGGCCCTGCTGCACACCTGTAATTAACACATGTCGGCGGCATCCTTTGATCTTTGCCGACAAAGGCCAAATTTTTGGGAATTAGGTAAAAACACAAGTTTCAAGTTTCCCACGGTCCTAGAAATTTTCCCAGGCTCAGGTGCCCTATTACCTACTAGGGTGTAACAAATTAGTAGGTCCCGTTAACCATATATTCTTTGGACTGAAATAATGGGACTCACTTTTCATTTCGGAGTCCCATTTTTAAAATACAGGGTGTCGAAATTATAATTTAAAAAATGATTTTTATTGATAACTCCGGTGATTGTAGCGATATTTAATTGAAATTTAGCACATATTTTGATCTTGAGTAGGCACACTTCTTCAGCATTTGTTCAAAATGCGAATCACCCACATCGATACATTTCTGACATCTTCTTGTAGCGGTACGCTACAATTACATTTAGTACCTGCCCCAATAAATATATTTTGCTTTCTGGGAATTTACGAGCCATATAAATTATACTTTGAATTATCCGAGGTTATCCCAAATAAATGAATTTAGCAAGTGAGATAAGTAGGCTGTAAACATAAATAAGTTGTTGTTTATTAGGGTACATAAGGCCAAACCGAGTAGGTAATGACCCGGATAAGTGTTAATTAGGATAGGGTAATAAAAGTAGGTACCTGAGGAGAAGGATAAAAACCGAAACCATTTCGAGGCAAGAACCAGAAGTCTTGAAGCTTAGTTCCTGCTCGGTTGTGTCTCGTATTACCAGCGAAATTAGTAGAATAAAGTTTTCCATGCTACTTAAGAGTTTTTCTCCTCACTTGAAGACCAAACCACTATATTCTATTCATGAAACTAATTGAAGCTAATATCATGTGGTGGTTTTCTTTTAATTCATTACACCCATCTTCTATTCGCTGCAGATAGGTAACCTCAAACATAGAAGTCCAGGGGGTTTAGATCTGGCGATCTAGCTGGCCAAGACACTGCACCCTCTGCAGCATTATGGTTGAAATTGGCATTTGGTCTTCTACCTGCCCAACACCCCATATAATTTTCATTAAGCTATTCTTGTATTATTCTCCTAAAATGTGCAGGAGCACTATGCATTTATATCCAGCTATTTTGTCGTATATTTAATGAAATATCCTTTAATAATTCAAAGAGATGGTTTTCTAGAGAGTTTAGAAATGACTGGGAATTTAGATGGGGTAGCAAGAAGAAAGATTCACAAACTTTATTGCAAATTATTCCAAGCCACACTTTCACAGAAAATTCGTGTTGAAAAGATCTTGTTCGAATTTCATGACGATTTTCTGGTGACCAAATATGCAGATTGTGAAAATTCACTACCCCTCGTTTTAAAGCAATCAGCTTTGCGCGAGCGATCACAGCATAATATATGTACCTATCAGTGTTATTCCTCAGCTTAAATAACACAGGACCACAAAAAAAATCGACGAAAGGTCTCCTCGGCCAAACCTATCGTATTATATGATTTTTGGGTCGCTGAAACCGAATCTGCAGACTCATTTGATCAAATCACGTCAGAGTTTTTTTCTAACATCAAAAAATAGCTGAAATAAATTAAAAGTAAAAAAACCTTTTTATAAAACAAGCTTTTATTTAAATGCTCTGAAAAGAAAAAAATAAACTTTAACTTTAAAATTTTTACCATCAACTTAAAACGTCATTTTGAAAATTGTTATTGTTAAAATCAATCACATCAAGTTATTTAATTAACTTATTTATCTACACAAGCAAATCTCTCTTAAAGTTGAAGTTTATTTTTTTCTTTTTAGCGCATTTAAATAATTCAAACTAAGTAAATTCAAGTACTTAAATCTCGCGACAAGCTTTTATATCATATAAATTGTGTAATGACGTTATAAGTTGATAGTAAAAGTTTTAAAGTTAAAGTTAATTTTTTTATTTGTTTATTGTCATCCAAACTGAACGTGTATACAAAATTTCAGCTCAATCGGATGAGGATATCTGCTTCAAAATTGAGTTGCAAGATTCCACCCGAACAAACATATTGCATACATTGCAAGTTAAATAAAAGCTTGTAAAATGGTAGAATTCAACAAAATCAAACCTGCAACCTGTTAAAACCTTATAACTCCACATCCTTATGATCCCGAACGAGCTC